TTTATTTGCCCTATGAATGGTTGTCTTGGCAGCCAATCACAATGCTTCCTGAAACAAGCAATCAGAGTGCTCTGCACAGACAGAAGTGCTGCCATGACAGCAGGAACTGAGAAGCCAGAGGGGGCAAGGCCAGAAATGCTGGCCTCGCCTCCCCGCTCCACTCCGGCCCTACTCCTTGGAGGCCAAGGGGATGGCAGGGACAGTGCCACCATGACAGTGGGGACTGAGGGGACAAAATAGGGCAGGGGGGCAGGCCAGCATCCCTGCCCCAGTAGTGGGGAGGGGATTGGGGTCAGGCTTGCAAAGCTGGGGAGGAATTGGGGTCAGGCCTGTCACAGTGGGGGGGAATGGGGCTGTCTCCACACTGGTGGGGGGGATGAGGGAGGACAGGCCCGCACCCAAAGTGCCAGGGAGTAACAGGGTCAGGCCTGAAGTGATGGGGAGGGCAGTGTTGGTGGCGCCTTTTCTCAGGGGGTGCACATGAACCCATGGCTGTCAGACAGCAACATCCTCATGAGGGTGGTGGGTCTGATTTCAGACCTACTCTGGCCTGCAATTGCATGCCTCTCCATGGTGGTCTTCTCTGCCCTTTCCCTATTCATTGGGTGATCCCCATGCACAGTGTCGTGAATCAGAGCAGCCGCCGGCAGCCGCCTGACTCACACACCGGAGTGTTTAGATTTAGAGCTCTACAGCTTCGGTTACAGAGTTAAATATGCGCATATAACTTCGGTTACAGAGTCGAGTACACGCACGCAGTTAAGTTACAACGAGATAATGACGGACGTGGCGCTGAAAACGGACGGTCGCGCTTGCAAGACTTTCTACGTCAATATTTTACGCTGACGGGGCAATTGATTAGGAATTGATCAATTTCCCAATTCTCTGGTGACAAGCACAGGTGTTTCCTGTGAGATCCCCAGAGCTCTCCGCCTTGGGCGGAAACTGTTAAACTATTTATAGGCAGAGGTGTTTTACAGGAATATCCAATGGTGAACCGTTATATGGAATCTTTAATTTTTGGCAGGTGGCAGCTCTTTGTCTCCTCAAGTTACAAGGTAGTGGGTTAGGTTTCTCTACGTGTTACGTGTGAGGAGCTTACGCTTATCTTTGACCAATTATATATAGTTTCCCCTAGCATTTTATTTCAGCTGACCAGTTAGCTGTAGTACACCACCAGCGTTTTGTTTCAAGGAATTTCTTGGCAGGGAAGTCTTTTAACCCTTAATAGTCAAATGAAGATGATTTGAATGGTATCTCTTGCTCAGTGGCATGGGCACAAGTTAATTGGGTTGTGACACACAGAAACATGCTTACTCTCAGGTTTACCCCTGGGCAAAGTTAAGCCATTCCTTTCCAGTATTCCTCAGCAATCCTTTGCAGTCAAGGAGGATTGTCTTCCATGACTGTCTTATCTGTCCTTTCCAGTGTATAATGGCAGACCATCAAGTCATGGAATCTGAGGCATGTCCCAGAACCATAACATGTAACAGAACCATAAAAAAGCTCAATTAAGATCGATTACAGAATAGGGCCACATTCTGTCATAGGCCACAAATGGGCCTTGGGCATTGCTACCACATGCTGCTTCATCTCTGTCCAGAACTGCTACCCCTCCTGCCAGCCTCATGGCACAGCAGGGTGCTGGTCCCAAGAAGCCCAACAGCCCATGCCAGTTTATTCCAAGGTACTGCAACATCCTGCCAGGGTGCATCCTGCCAGACTACCACTGCATTGGGCCCTGACTCAAGGAGGAGCTTCAAGGAGCCCCACTGACTATGGACTGAGACTGCTGGTGACAGTGGTCCCCAGACAGTAGTAATTCTGGGTGGGCTGGGAGATAGCACCATCAGTTCCCATCATAATAGCCCATCCCCAGCTTTGGGACTCTTGCAGGATTGGACCCTCCATCCCTGCAGTTGGTGGCTGACACCTGTCTCCAGGGAGTTGACTCTGTCATGGGAGTTTTGGTGGTAGAAGTGTATTTTGTTACACATTTCATATTTATTACTAGTAATGAAAAACTGCTTTATCTTAAAGGCAACACAAGGAATTACCTGCTGCAAGTTGAGCAGGTTCCTGGAGATCCACATTGTAGATGTAATCCCTGCCCTTCTCACCCACTTTGTCCTCTCAACTTCACACTATTTTGGTTCTTGCTTTCTGGGTTTTATCTTTTTTTTTAATGTACTCCCCGCCCATTTCCTGCCTTCACAATTCAGAGCTAGTCTTGCTTATCAGGCCCTTCCTTTCCCAGGCCCTTCCTTTCTCTTTTCTTTTTCTTTTTCGATGTTCTCTCCTCTACGCAGCAGCACTGGAAGGTAAGAAGAGATATGCCCGACAAAGAGAGCTCAGAGCTTGTTTATGAAGGTGTTCCAGGCAGCTGTGGGACCTGGTGGGAGTTATGGGGTACTTGAGGTTGGCACAGGCTGCAGAGAGATCAGGAGCTGGGAGGGAGGGAGAACGGCCCCACTGCTGCCACTGCTGCTGCTCTTGGGCTGCCTGGAGTGGCAGGGCAGGGCTCCAACAGTGGAGAGGCAAGTCAGGGCCTGTGGGGTGATCAAAGGGTGGCTGGGGGGTGATTGCAGGGTGTACAGGGGATTTAGGTTCTGATAGGGAGCAGTGAGGTGATTTTGGGGGTGGAGGAAACAATGCAAGTGGTTCAGTGCGGGGAAGTCTGCCAGCCTGAAGACAGTTCTTTGCAAAACTGCAAAATCCAGGGGCTTCTCCACTAAAATGAGAAATTCGTGTTTTATTCCAGTAAAGGGGAAAATCCACATTTTTCTCCATTTTGCCATGGGAGCCTGAAAACCTGTCACTAGCACTAGTTCTCCTTCACACAGAGTAACAGTCATTATAATTAGCACTTCCTGAAACTAATGTGTAGTCTCACCTGTGCTGTCCAGCAGAGTTAGGATTTTTTTTCCAGGTCTTTAAAAATCTTTAAAATTCCACTGAGTGGGTATGTCTAGCCATTTTTGACAAAGGGTGCCATTGGGAACATTGCTGAGGAAGGAAGCATTTTTTTTTTACTCTGTGTGTTTGGCAATTGGAAGGAAGTGGGGACACAGAAACAGGTCAGTCACAGGTGGTTACTGCCTTTGGACGATTTTCCTGTGTTGGTGTCTGTTACAACATAGTGAATGATGCTGCCTAAATAATGTCACCTCATTCTAGAAATACCAGGCTACTCTGTTACTAAGGCATGATGGCTACCAGCTCAAGTTAACAGCAGAGGTAATGATTCAGCTATGGGTATACAGCCAGTTTCCATCCAGAGTGTGCAAATGGCTCCTTTTCAATGGTGCACACAAGTTGAGGTGTATAAAGCTTTAGGGTGCATTTGATTCTTTCTTCTTTTTCTTGAAGGAGTGGATGACAAATGGTAACCAGAGGACTGAGGTCCTATATGGGCACAACATGACATTTTCTTCCTGTGGAGTAGGCTCTTCCTCCCCTGATGTCAGGGATTTGAATTTGTTCTTCATCTCAATGATTGGGTGCTCAAAGGTGGAGCACTGACAGGTGCCAGCTTCCATCCTTGTGAACACCCTTCTCCTTTCCATGTTGTCTTCCTGGGTGTCTTGCTCAGTTTTGGCAATCTCCTTGAAGACTCCTTGTTCTTGGCTTGTGGCTACTGTCATCAGCCCCAGATGCTCAGCAATGGCACGCAACCTTATCATTGCATCTTGGACCTGTCCCTTGCTTCTGCTTTTTGACATGGTACACAAAGTACTGAGCTTCACCTCCTGACCTCTGCCTGGCTCCTAAGTACATATTTAGCCATGAGCTCTATCTCCAACACACTTTGGTGCAGGCAAACAATGACAAGAGGAGAAATGAAGATTCCTTTTTAGAAAAAAAAAAAGGTTTTATAGTGGGTTTTTACTATCTTTGTGTTTGGTTATGCATAAAGAGCTGAACTTCCACAAGCAACAAACTACTTCAGATGGTATGAAAAGACTGTCAGAAATACATGTTTGATGTAGAAAAGAAAGGCAACACTGATAAGTGGAAAGAATGAGTTGGTTGAATCAACTGAGAGGAACAAGGAAGTTAAGACCCCAAGAGATGCTTGCATTGAAAGCTCAGCCAGGTAATAGGATAAGAGAATAAAACAGGATAAAACACATCTGTGCTGATACCAAGATTAGTAGAATTCTGTGGGGGATTTTCTGCTCTGCATTTGCACATTCCAGTCAGGTTTAGAAGCTTTGCTGTTTAAGATGAGCTACTCTGAGGTCAGTGATGGCTTGTCCAGGGAGGCTAAAGTGCTCTGCCATGGGTTATTGTGTCTCTGTGATATTCAAAACAATGTCCATACAGATGGGCAGGTGGTGTGCTCTCTGTACATGATGGCCTCAGGGACCCTTCCTAGGAGACAGGGACCCTCTCAGGGAGGAGGATGTGGAGGAGGAGGGACCTGGGTGGGACCCAGGAGGAGGACGCGGAGGGACCCTTTCCTGCTTCAAAGTCCTTCTTTTGTATTCTCCTTCACTTCTGATGATTCCTGATGCCTCTTTATCTGTGGCTTTCTCTGGTTGGTCCCTCTGTGTGGTTGTCATGCATCCATGTAGCTTATCACACGCACACATACTAATTTGGTCTTTCCAGGCTTTCTTCCTAATTTGGTCTCTGTAATGCCTCAGCTTGGTTGGTGAATGGCCATGTGGTACCCAGAAAAGGGCCCCTCCCCAACTTTCCTGACATGTCTTGATGCTATTTGAAAAGAAGTGGGGTTCAGTGATGTAACTGGTGGTCCCCATGGGGCTACTCACGATATAGCCATAGCTCACTTGGGGCTCCACCTTCCCTACATGCTGTCCACTCACCAACCATTGATGTCGATACTTTGAGGTCTGTGCTAGCTTCTCTGGCTCTCAGGCCCCATTCATCTCTCACCGACTGAAACTCCAATGTCAGTCCTATGCTGGGCCAATCCAGGGTATGATGTGAGTGTTCCTGGCATCCTTTTCTGCCACTCAGCACCAACCCTTATACCTGGGCTTATGGTACTGGGCCTTCCCCTATTAGGAAGTAGCCCTTTCCCTTTTGGCCCACTGGGTCTCCAAAAAACCCCAAGAGTGAAAGGCAAAGAAAATAGCAAAAGAGCTGTCTCCGAGAAGCTAAGACAAGCCTCAGCAGGTTACCTACCTTCTTAGTCTCTTTTCCAGACAGAAGCAAGGGAGGTGAGGTAGGGTGAGGA